TGGGGAAATGTTGTAAACATTATTCTCCTTGGAAATTCATAATCACTTTACCATATTACAGGTATGGAACAGTCCTATGGTAAAAATATTTGCCTAATTTTGTTTAATCTACAATTTCTCAAATTTTTTGATCTGAGGACCCATCTGTAGGTAGGGAGAGGGGTTAATTATTTACTTATTTTTTGCACAAAGAAAGATTGTGAAATGGTTTTTCTGAAGTTTTCCTTGAATTGGAATTCTGTATCCTTAAAATATGTACAAGTGAGAATACTGATTATGTTTGCATTTAGTACTCATGAGTTTTCAAAATATATTTCAGTTACATTTATTCATGTTTTATAAGCATAATTTTTATGCAAACACAGTCTACAATCAGGAAGTTAATGATATTGCTCCTTTTACTCTTCATTTTGTATGGTAGTACTATACCAGAAGAAGAGCCACATATCCTGTTTTGTATGTAAATAGATTTATTTTAAGGAATTGGTTTATGTGATTGTGGAAGCCTCCAAGTCCAAGGAGAGCTGATATCCCATTTGAGTCTGAAAGCTGACAGGCTGCTGAGAACCAGGAAGAGCTGATGCACCTGCTCAAAAGCCAACAGGCAGAACTCACTCTTAACTAAGGGAGAATCATCGCTTCTATTCAGTTCTCCAACTAATTGCATTAAGTCCCACCCACAATATGAAGGACAGCCTGCTTTAGTATACTGAATTAAATATTAATTTCATCTAAACAGATTCTTACAGCAACTCTCCAAGTAATATTTTGATTGTATATAATAAAGTTTTATTTTTCCAAATCACTGGACACATTCATCCATCTTTACTAACAGTTGGAGCAACTCTACCCTCTGTATTTTTGGTGTAAATGACTTGAGCTCTGTGCTTTGTAACCAAATTGCTAAGTCCTTTATGCAGCATCTCCTGAAAGGCTGCCCTGCTCAGGGACCTGCAAATCTTCAGCCTCTCAGACATCACAGCTGGAGTTACAAGCTCATAGTTGGGAACTTCCTTACAGAGCTTGTCATAAGTATCTTTGTTAAACAAAACTAGGTTATTGAGCTTGTCCCGAACTTTTCTGTTGGATCACTTTTTTCTGGCTTGCTTTTTTTTTCTTTCTTCCTTGCTGCAAGACTTGTTCACAATTCCCTATCATTATTGTCTGACCTTCCAGCATTTTCATGGCCGACTTTCTGGTGTCTTTCTCTTTCTTGTCATCCTTGGGCATAGCAAGGTGCAGAAGGAAGTGGCAACCAACTCAGCCTTGCAAAAATATCCCAATTAATGTTTAGCTATCTGAGCACCATGTGGCCCATCCAAGTTGGCACATAAAGTTAACCGTAAAACCTAGTAATACCACAATTTGAGATTTCTGTACTCTTTAGGATACTGGTTGGTTGTAGTATAATAGTTATCTATTTATCTAGCTATCAACCTAGATGAGTGACCTAAAACTATCCTCAAAGGGGTATAATTGAAGGATTATATGTGGTCAAGAGCAGGATGGGTGTAGTGCCACTGATGGAGCTGCTGTCCTTCACCTAGAAGCCCAGTCTTCCATATTGTACTTTGTGAAGTCAAAGCTGAGACTATGCATATTTTATTGCTCTTTAAAAACAAAGAACTGTAAATTCTACCAAATGGAGTCTATGGCAGGATTAGCCAATAAGAATCACTGAAGGAAAACCTGAAAGCAGATGAAGGAGAGATGGATCTTGTTCACTTTTGTTTTCCTACTAACAGCAAAGATGCTTCACCCGACATTTACAAATGTCTCCAGCATCGTTTTTTCCAGTTTCTAAGATGTTCCACATTTCCAGAATGGGCTGGAGTAAATTTCTTTCCCTCTGATTTGATGGAAAAAAAGAAAAAGAAAAATTCATTGGATGTTACTAAATTAAAGTTCTATCCTTAGAATTTAAATTATTAGGGGCCAGCATTGTGGTGTAGCAGGTTAAGCTTCTGCCCATGATACCAGCATTCCATATGGATGCTGGTTCTAGACCCGGATGCTTCACTTCTGATCCAGCTCCCTGCTAATGCACCTGGGAAAACTGAGGAAGATGGCCCAAGTCCTTGGGCCCCTGAACCTATGTGGGAAACCCAGAGGAAGCTCCAAGCTCCTTCAGATCAGTCCATCTCCAGCCATGTGGCCATTCGGGGAGTGAATAAGCGGATGGGATTCTCTCTCTCTCTCTCTGTCTCTTTCTCTCTTTCTCTCTCTCTGATTGTCTCACCCTCTTTCTGTGTGTATAATTCTTCCTTTGAAATAAATAAAAAACAAATCTTAAAAAAGTATCATATGGCAGGGAGAGTGTTTGCCACAGCACTTGGGATACCTGCATCTCTTATCAGAGTACCTGGGTTTGAGAGCCAGAGTCTGCCTCTGATTTCAGCCTGTTGCGAATGTGCACCCAGGAGGCAGTAGGTGACGTCTCATGCACTTGGGTTCCTGCCATTCATGTGGTTGACCCAGATTGATTCCTGAACTCCTGGCTTCATCGTAGCCTACCTCCAGCTGTTGTGAGTATTTGAGGGGCAGACCTGTGGATGGAAGATGCTTTCTGCCTTTCAAATAAACAATTTTAAAATTAAGTATCAGATGTGAGAATAGTCTGGATGATATCTAAGTCCCTTTTCTTTTGGAAGATTCTATGATATAACCCAGAAAAAAAGATAACTGCAGCTATAATTATTGAACAAATACTAGGTCAAAGGCACTGGATCCAATTCCTCACTTACATTATTTCTAATGCTTGTAAAAACCTTAATTTGGTAGACATCAGCATGCCTACTTTATCAGTTTAGAAAAAGTAATTGAGCCTCATGCAAGACAACTAATTAACCAGGGTGCCAAGAATTTCCAAGTGATTAAGGCAGTGTCTATTGCCCACTTTCTAGTAAGTCTCTGACATGTGACTGAAATAGTCTTTTATGGCAGTCTCACAAATTCATTGTCATATTCATAAAGACTTAGCAAGGTATATAATAGTTGAATATCTAACACTTGTGTTCTTGAAACAATGTGACCTATTAGAAAAAGCACAGATTTTCAAATCAGTTCCTAGTTTGTGATCATGGCGAAAATGACACAATTTTTCTTTTATTTTTAAGATTTATTTTATGTATTTGATAGGCAGAGTTACAGAAAGAGAAAGGGAGAAGTGGAGAGTGGGTTCACTCTACAAATGGCCACAAAGGCCAGGGTTGGGCCAGACCAAAGACAGAAACCAGTAACTTTCAGGTCTCCAACGTGTGGAAGCTGGACCGGAAGTGGAGCAGCCAGGATATGAACTGGCACCCAGGATGGCCCCAAGACACAATTTTTGTAAGCCAAAGAGATGGACAAGTATCTTCCATCTGCTGGTTCACTCCCCAAATGGCTGCCAGGGCTGCTCCAGGCTGAAGGCAGAAGCCAGAAACTCCATCCGGTCTCCCAAGTGGGTGTCAGGGATCCAAGAGTTTGGGCCATCTTCTTCTGCCTTCCCATTTGCATTAATTGAATTGGATCAGAAGCAGAGAAGCCGAGAATCACTACGCACTTATATAGGATGTCAGTGTCACAGACAGCGGCTTAACCCACTTTGCCACAATATCAGCCCCAATTGAAGAATTTCTCAGTGATCTGTTAACAGTATGCAAAAATCTTGCTGTAGAAAATGCACATTGAATACAGAAGAAAGAACATGAGTGACCATTTTGAGATAAATAACAGCAGAGTACTAAAGATGAAGCAGGTGCAATGAGCTAATATTATATTGAATGTACAGAGGAAGAGACAGGTGGTTCAGACAGTTCTTATGAATAGTTACTTTAAATAGAGGGAACAGACAATAGAGACAGCCAATTGTTGAACAAGGGATTGCTTTTATTTGAACACAGACAGAGGCAGAGTTGAACATATACTATTTAACTGTTTAAAGGAGAAAGGGATATAGAGAAAGAGTAATCTATACACTAAGATCTCTGAGGAGACTTCTAGGGAAGGAAATGGTATGGGAACAAAATTGGAGAGATTTGAGACAAGAGAAAGGAAATCAATGTTTCTCCATTTCAATAGGATTATAAGGAAAATGATAATGTGTCTACAGACAAGTCTGTGAGCTTATGGGTTATAACGAATTCAAGCAGCTCCAGTCCAGCTTTCAAAAGCAGTTGGTAGCACAACACCATTATTAAAAGCATGTGTTCTAAAGGTAGATTTTCTGGCATTAAATCTCTGTTCATGCTCTTAATAATTATATAATCTTATGCAAGTTATTGTACATGCCATTGTCTTATTTTCCAGATGGCAATAATCATGAACTTATCCCCTGTGTTGTCTAAGGAATTGGTTAGATAGATAGATAGATAGAGATGTAGATAGATAGATATAATTATAGAATAGATATAGATATATAGATATATATACCAATGTTGAGCTTAAGAAGCTCTACACATGTTAGCCATAGCCAGAGTGTGCAGAAGGGTTGTCCTACTTCATTTAAAAGTGACTGAACAATGATGTATGTGTTCAGAGGTTTCCAAAGAGGAAAGTTTTTAGAGAACACTACAGAGTGCAAAAAAAGAGCTCATATAACATAAAAGAATTGACAAGCAGTCTTGAGGACTGCAGCTTATGAATAGGCAGTGATTGCCATCATCTTCAAGTCCCCCACCCCACTTTCTGACTGGTATAGATAGTTGGAAGAAGGTAGACTGTTGGGTTGACCCAATCAGAAGCTGCAATTGAAGAACAATGAGGTAATGGAATGGATAACTCAACAATGGACATGCTGAATTGATAGACCATCTAAGAGAGATATGCTAAGAAATTAAGGGGACACTCAACAGTAAGAGAGAGAGAGACTAAAACACATGGGTAGTTGATTATGTGGTTTTCAAAGCAAGAAAAACAGGATACAGGGAGTTATATTTACGTGACACCCATAACTCTAAGACACTCTCTATACAAATAATGGTTTGGCCTTCCCAAAGGAAAGGGTGGGGCTCAAAGAACAAGAATAAAGAGAATTATGATGAGGAAGGGTGGGGCCTGAAGGCAGGGGATAGTGCCCCCACAACTGCTTGGGTCTGATCAGGTGGTTGGCCCCCTTGGGGCACCCAGAAGCTCTTCAGTATGTGCCTGCGCTTCAGGGATGACGAACCTAGCCAAGTCAGCCCTGTGAGTGCACCAAGGCTCTGAACTCCAGTTCAACAACCCTGATCTGGCCTTTGCGATCAAGGCTGTGGCCACTTTGGCCTTCCACACTGTGTTTCTAACCATTGTATTTGTGGTTTGGTGCTGAGGTGGGGAAAATTCTGCATGGACTAGACAGACTGGAATTTGACTGACGGGGTGAGAAAAATCCTTGTTCAAATTGTGCCAGGGTCAGGTAGGCTTAATCCAACTGTTGACTGACCCTTTGATGATGTGTCCTAGGAGGCTGGGTGAGAATTACAGAACTGAAGGGCAGGATAAACTTTTCAGTAGTCAGATGTGTAGAAGATTGGTTCTGGCTCTTCAGATTAAAAAAAAAAAAAGATAGAAATGAAGGAAAGGGAAGATATTTAAAGTACAAAATAGAAATAGGGCAATAGAGTGGGATCAGTCCAGCTCTCTGTGCATCAAAAAACCACACCACACTAATCACCCCAACCATTGTCAGGCTTTGAAAGCCAGATTTAAGATTAGATCCCTCAGCGATAGGTACCACTGAAATCATATACTCCTAGAATCTGAAGGTTTGAATTTCTGTCATACCCTTTCCCTCCAGAATTAATCTTACTACTCTGCCTGTTACTCATAATGTGGTTCATATCTTGTTCTTTGTACTCATAATAGTAACTATATCCCCACCCCAATTTTCACCTTAGATGTTCTTATTCTGATCCTGTTTTCTTGCAAATGAGATCATATCCATATATTACATAAATAGCTTCATAAGTAGCAGTAGCATCCCGTTGTAATAAATGATTCTCTTCTTTTTCACGGCATTTATATGTTTATGTGTTTTTGTATATCACATAGGAAGGACCAAGACGGCCACATCCTTCAGAAGTCACTGCAAAGCAGGTATTGCTTGAAATAATTAAATTCTGGTTATTTCTACTGTGCTTTTTACTTCATTCCTTTATGTGTGGTGGTCCCTAACATGATAGGACTTGCATTAGCTAGACTATTCTGTAGTATCTTTTGGGAACTCTAGAACCCTGTGATTACTATTGGAAAGTACAAACTAAATAGCTATCATTCTTAATGTAACATTTGATATGCATAAAAATATACACAGCATATGTAATTTATAAAGCATAATAAAATATGTTTTCAGTTTGATAATTAAAATATCGTGAATATCCTTGAATCCATCTAAAGACTGTTTCCCTAGTTACTTCTCTGCATGTCTGCTAACAAAAACCATTGTCTTGAATTTTATTTTTATTCTTCTCATCCTTTTGATACTGTGTTACATACGTGCCTCAGTAAGTATATTGTTTATTTTTGCTTGGTCTTGTACTTTATAAACATAGTATCACAAAATTCAGTGTATTATTTACTCTTTATTCTCAGTACTCTTCCCAATATCTGTATATAATGCTGTATATAGTTATAATTCTCTTCTTTTCACTGTTGTTCAGTAGTTTGTTGCAAAACATATCGCTGCCCATTAATCTCTCAAGTGTGTGGACATTGGATTGTTTCTATAATTTCCTATAATGAGCAGCACTACTGTGAACATTCTTTCACCAAGCACAAAAGTTTCACTCTTATTTAAGAACGAGTAGAATGGCTGGATCATGGAAAAACAAATTTTTCAATTTCATAAAGTAGTACCTCATTGTTTCCAAAGCAGTTCTACCAACATCCTGTCTACTCTGATACTGTGTTTTGTTACCTACAAAAATGTTTAGTTTGATTTCTAAGGTCTCTGCTATTTGTAGCTGCCATATGATGGTTACACAAGAAGTTGTAGGTGCCATTCATCATTTAAAAGGAGTAAAGAATGCACTTCTTTTTTTATTTCCTTTAAAAAAAGTTTGATATTTTTAATGAGCATTAGCTTTAGTAAAAGTAAACACATGTATTCTTGAGTCAGACTCTAAATATGCACACTGGTGATATGAGAACCAAGAGTAAAAGTTCTCATGTGAAAACTCTGGTGGACCAGTGTGTCCTTCTGCACTTATGAAGGGCTTTTCCTTTCCTAAGTCTGGTAGCTATGTGGACTATATGCATGGATTCATCATTTCTTTTGATACACACCAAAAATGTAATCAGCATGTTATCTTCATATGTTATAAAAATGTGATTTCAATTTCTCCTCCCAAAAGTCTATAAATAAACGTATTCAGGACATGCAAAACATGAAGAAGGAGAAGAGGAGGTTAAGTAAACGATTCTCAAGGCCTTCTCCTGTTCCAGAACGAGGACTGCTGGTAAGTGTAGGGATTTCATTAAAATGTACAGATCTTTACATGCAATCAGCATCCTCATTTTTAATCTAGGTATTATTCACTCTAAATTTTGTTTTCCCCTTTTCCTTTGAGAAACTTGTAGTTTCAGTCTTAGAAATTAAGTTGAAACTCCTCTGATCAAATTCTCATTATTTAAATTTCTTTTTCAATTGTCTCCTGGAGTTGTAGTTTAATGAAAACAACATGAATTTCATAATTATGTTGTTATGGATTACAACCTTTGTTTTGTCATGTGTTAGCTGATTGTTGAGGTTATTCTTTTAAATATTTTGTATTATATTATTTGTAAAATAAATTATAAAAAATTTTAAAAATTATTTTTAAAAATTTTCTGACAAATAGTTGTTTAGGCTAGCATTGAGCACTGACAATATCAGCAAAATCTGTATGGCAATTACAATTTATTCCAGTTTGCATATCTTTGAGAAGGATTTAAAAGTTTTAACACTTAACACATTGTATTGCATTCATGAGCCTTTTACAATATGGTGTTAATCATATTTCTTGTAGCTAGGTATAAACCAAATGCTCCTTACATTTGAAAGCCATCCATATATTTCAGTATAATTATTACTTCATTAAAAGCATGTTCTTAATTTCCAAATATCTGAAGAATTTCCAGCTTTCTTTTACTTATTTTTAGTTTAACCCTTTTATGCTCTGAGAGCAAACTGCAAGATTTTTATTTTTAATTTTAAGTTGTGTTTTAATGACATTGTATGTTATATGTCTGATGAATGTTCCATGTGATTTAGAGAAAAATGTATATTGTGCTATTTTTGGATAAAGTAACTGAAAATGTCAATTAGGTCCAGTTTATGCTCTTTAATTAAACTATACCCTTATTGATCTTCTGTCTACTAGTTCTACTGATTACTAATCAAAGGGTATTGACATTGCCAATATGATTGTGGTTTTTGTCCACTTATTCTTATATTTTATCAGTTTTTGCACCCCATACTTAGGTGCACTTTTGTCACACATGTACACATTATTATTATGTCATCTTGGAAGTTTTACCCCATTACATCATTCAGTGTACCTCATTACTGCTGATACTTTTTCTTGTAAGTCTGTTTTTTCTGAAATGAATAATGTTACTCCGAATTTCTTTTAATTATTGTTAGAATGGTATATTGAACTCCATTTTTTTCTCCATTCTCCAACATAAAATCGCATCTTTTGTTTATTTGTACATTGCGAAATTCTGTATTTTCTTGGTATAGTCACATCATTTGCATTTGAAGTAATTATTATATAGTTGGATTAATATCTGCCTTATCTGTTGCTGTTTTCTACTTATGACTATGTTATTAAGCATTTTTATGACACCATTTTCTGTCCTGTTGTATAATATCAATTGTATTTGTTTTGCATTTTTATTTTTTGTGATGTGTCTCTGTGAATTTGCAATGGACATTTACAATTGGTTGAAATTCATATTCAAGTAATATTATAATACTTCATAATTAAAGCAAGTACCTCATAACAAAGTATTCCTGCTCTCTCCTTCCTGTTCACTATAACATTGCTGTCATTTCACTTATCCATACATATAGTCACCACGCATATGAGGATGTTTCAAAAGAATTAGTGAAATTAAATTAAAAGATGTTTATTTTGGTGCAAAAAATTGAAATCTTTTTATATAAGATGTCTTCAAAAAGTTTATAGAAGATTATTATTAGGAGAAAACCATGAATGACTTCATAATTTTTTTGTGACAAACCTAACATCTTTTAATTTCATTTTCCCATGAACTTTGAAATACCCTCATATTGTTGCTACTATTATTGTGAGCAACTATGCTTCTCACATACATTTTTAAATAATACTCTTCATTTTTGTATGGAGATCCCAGTTTCTTACTTATATAATTTTACTTGTCTCTGAAAAGCTCCTTTGAACATTTTCTTTGGATAATACTAGTAACAACTTACTTCAGTTTTTGTTTATTTGAGAAAGTCACAGCTTCTCTGGATCCAGAGCTACAGGTTGCTGTTCTTTATCTTTCAACACTTTAGAGTGCTGGCACTGAGTGTGTCTCTTCACCTACTGGGGAAACCTAAGTTGGCTAGAGGTCAGGGAGAATAACATCCCTTGAGGAGGTGTCAGCTGAGGGGAGCAGAGCTCTAGAGCTCTAGCATATTTGGAAATGGTTATCTTTCTCCTCCCAGTGCTAAAGGAGATTGTTCTGTAATCCTCACCATAAATAAGGTTTGTGAGGCTCCTTGAAATACATTTTCAGAAAGTAGGGATACTTTCCTGAGATTATCCTCCATAGAGCCCTCCCTTCATTTCAAGCTCTTGCATACTGAGCCTCCAAGCAGTTCATATCAATTAAAATTTTAAGTGTCTCTATCGTTATTGGTGCCAACAGCAGACTTCTGTTCCTGGTAGACTAGTGATTCTCATATCCATCTGCCTGTCTCTGATTTTCAGGGCACCAGGTTGCATTGTAACTTCAATTTTCTGATGGATGCAAGATTAGTTTATTTTGATTTTGTTTGGCATCTTTCTTTTTTTTTTTATTTTTTTGACAGGCAGAGTGGACAGTGAGAGAGAGAGAGAGAGAAAGGTCTTCCTTTTCCGTTGGTTCACCCTCCAATGGCCACTGCGGCCGGCGCACTGCGGCTGGCACACCGTGCTGATCCGAAGCCAGGAGCTAGGTGCCTCTCCTGGTCTCCTATGCTGGTGCAGGGCCCAAGGACTTGGGCCATCCTCCACTGCACTTCCGGGCCACAGCAGAGAGCTGGCCTGGAAGAGGGGCAACCGGGACAGAATCCGGCGCCCCGACTGGGACTAGAATTTGGTGTGTAGGCGCCGAAGGCGGAGGATTAGCCTGTTGAGCCACAGCGCCGGCCCAAAATTTTTCTTACTATGACAATAGAAATAATGATTTTCTAGCCCTCTATCAGCCTGAAAACCTCCACTTGTAGTTCTTTCGTCAAAACTGGGTCAATGGGCACCCATATCTGCAAGTAAGACTATAGATGTGAAAACTTAAACTGATTTCCTGGCTATTAATATGAAAGAAAATGATTTCCTTTCTTTTCAGACTGTGATGATACTTTTTTTTTTTTTTTTGTAAATTACTCAGGGACCTGAGTTTCTGGAGTAAATTCAGTCCACTGGCTTTGCTTATCATTTGTCTTTGCATAGTCAGATGTGCTTATACATTGTCATGCAGAAACTCAGAATTCTTAACTATCCACGGTAAATGCACTGTCAAATACCTACAGCACCCCTTCAAGTATTTGTAATACTATCTGCATAATCATGGCCTCCCTTTTAAGTATGAAGATATAGCCATACAGCATAATCATTTGCACCATTAACTTGTAGTGATGTATAATAATGTGGGATGTAAAGAAGGAAGAGTAATTTCTAAGACTGCCTTTCTGTGGTGCAGGGCAGTTGTCATCACTTCTGAATCCTTTACCTCTATATTTCTGCAGTTACTTTGAGTGATCTATCCTAGCCCTTTGCTATTTCAGATATGATATTGTGCCATCAGTCTCCTTATTCCATGACTTGTCCTTTAACAACAAATTATTTAGGGTTTTCTGCTAAAAAAAAAAAGAAAAAAGAATAAAAAAACCTCCTCTTGTCTCTTAATTGGCCTATGTCAATCATCCCTTCAAATCACATGAGCTTTCAGAAATGACTGAAACAAATAAGCATATACAAAAACAAAGTGTCTTATATGTGAAAATTCTGAGTTCAATCTTATGTTTTCATTCTTTATAGTACAAAGATTCTGAACTTGTCTTCAGAAAATCCATTATAGTTTCTACTAGCAGTGTTAGGCCATCATGAAAGCTCTGATATTTATAAAAGCGACAAATACACCTTTCTTCTGAGAAAGAACACTAAGAAGGTCAAAGGCTGAAAATATATACCATGCCAAACGGCTTCCCATCACTTCTCAAACAATAATAATAGCAAGAAGAAAACATAAAAACCCTATTCTAGTTTTATTTGTATTCATTGACTCACAAATAGATAGTATCTCTTG